GAAAAACATGTTCAGACTGCCACCTAGAAATAACCTAGCAATCAGTGTTGAGTGGATCGATGAACTGAATCAAATGCTAGGGAAAACAATTTTAAACTATGTGAGAAAAATTATGAAACTGTTCATATCCTTTGACCATCAATGACTCTCCCATGTACTCCCAAGGGTGAACAGCAAACACAAAGAGCATTTTAAGATTTCCAAAGTGCTTTACATAAAGTATCTCATTTGCCCCTCAAAACCTTCCTGTGAAGTAGATATTAGAGGCTTCTTACACCCCTTTCCTTCATCGAGGAAACTGGAGCTGAAAGAGAATAGGACTTGTGCTGGGTCCTACAGCTCAAGACCCCAAGTGGGCTCAGCCTTAGCTCTCACCTAACTCCAGTGAAGTTCCCTATCAAAGCTAAGCCTTTCATGCAGCAGCACATGAAGAAAAATTAAAACCTGGTCTTAATCAAAAGGAAATATCCATTATGTCTAAATCCTGGAACAACACATACTTTCTACTAGGATAAAAGACAGACCCCTTGCCCATAGATGACACAGCAAGCATTGTTTTAGTTCACTGTATTTCTTTGCAAAGACAGTGTTATAACTCAGCATTATTTAAAATAGTAAAAGAGCAAGAGAAAATCCTGGTCACTAATGGAATATAGTTGTATTAAACTAGTAAGCAGCGTGATTTTTTTGTTTTCTGGTCTATGTTATGAAAATAATAGCAAACAGCCAAATAATTTACAGAAGATGAAAGAAATTATTAATACCAAACCAAGCATGATAAATAAAAAGGTTTTTTTAAAAACCTTATGATTTAATAGAATTTAGACCTTAGAGATGCTGTCCAGGCCCCTCATTTTACAGATGAGTAATCTAAAGGCTAGCTAGAGAAAAAAAATGACTTGCCAAAGATCACACAACTAGTTAGTAGCAGAACTTAGTTACAAGAATCCAGGGATCTTAACTCTGAGTTCACTGGTCTATCACACCCTTCACAGATTATTTTTTTCCCTTACAGAGAGCAATACAGAACTATATTTCATCAAGTTTACAGGTTATGTGAATAGAGAAAAATGTAAGGATCATGACAAAGTCTACAGGTAGGAAAGCCAAACTTCCTAGAATCCCATTACTCCCAGCTTGTTGTTTACTTGGCTATCTCTCAGCTAAGCAAGGTATAAAGTAGATAAAGTCAATACAAAATCATGTGGGATAAAATTCTGGAGGAAGAATCACTGAACAAATTTATTGTACCAAAAGGAGTGAAAAAAATTGAACAGCAAAGAGGCCAAGAAGGAAAAGGGAATTAAACAATGACTATTTTCAAAAACTTTTTAACACTTGTATTAAACTGAAGAAATTTGGAAATGATTTGATGGCCCCATCCTTCAAATTCCTCATTTACAAGAGAACAAAAGAAAAGGAAAAAAAGGGGCCTTATCTTAATTAACCCAACAAAAATTATTACAGAGGGTAAAGAATTAAAGGAAAGAAAAACTGTAAATATAATATTTCTTAGAATCCTTAAATAACTAGAACCCTCAACTGTATTCAAAATAGTGAGTTTTCAATGCACTTGGATGTGAAAGGTTCCAGGGTTGAAAAAAATAATAATAAACCAGGAAAAGGAGGTAAGGCCGTCATAGCAAGAACAAGGAACAAGTTATGTTCTTCACTGTATCCACACTAGAAGAACTTACTCTGCACGGAGGGGAACTAACACCTCCCCAGGAAGCCCATTCCACTTTGGGCAGCTCTCAATGTTACTGTATCCTGACATCAAACTTAAATGTTCCTCTTTATAACTTCAATCTGCTGCTCCTGGTTCTGACCTCTTGGGCCAAGCAGAACAAATCTACTACCTCCCCCTCCACATGCCAGCCCTGAAATAACTGAACACAGCAATCGTGGCTCCCCTGAATCTTCTCTTCTCCAGGCTTAACATGCCCATTTCCTCCTCTGCTATGACATGACTTAAGGCCCGTCACCATGCTTGCTGCTCTCCTCTACATACTCTACAACCTATCAGTGTCCTTCTTAAATTGAGGTACCCAGAATTGAACAATATACTCCAGATGAGCCCTGACACATGCCTTATCTCCCCAACTAGACTAAAAGTTCCTTTTGGCCAGGGGACCATGTCTTTTATTTCTTTTGTTGCTCCCCTTATCACCTAGCACAGCACTCTCTGTATATGATAAGTTAATAAATACATTCAGTGAATAAACTTAAATATTACTCAATGAGGAATGCTGCAAGAAGGTCCTAATCATCTAAGTCATTTCTCTAATCTTTGAGTGAGGACAAACTTATAATACCGAAAAAAATAAATAAAGTCCTTGGTATACCCTCGCTTACTGAGGTTTCTTCATTTCCCTTTGCCAAATTTTGATGTGTCAGTGACTGGGGAAGGTTGAGAAACAATAGCTTATTTATCGAGTGGAAAGAGTAACAGGATCAGAGATGTGAGACCTGGATTCTAGTCTTAGAGGAGACACCCACAAAACCTCTGAGGTAAGTCATTTATTTCTCTAGTTTTCTCTATTTGTGAAATTGAGTTAAAATTATAATAGTACTTTTTCTTAGCCAAAAGTCATGTTGTGAAAACAAATGAGGTAATACATACTATATATGAATATGTCTAATTAGGAAAGTTGCTACATAAATTCAAGGTATTTATCTTCATTAAGCCTACATAAAACATTTGAGATCATACTGAAATTTATTTGCAAGATCTTACAAATTCTTAATCTAAGAAATGCTACCCTGGTGCATTAGCATCCTTTCATCTTTTTATCCTTAAAAGCCATTTTTAAATTATAAAACACTCATTATAAAAGTTTTTTTTTAAATTAAGTAAATAAAAAGCTTACAAAGATGAGCCAAGGAACCTGAAGCTCACCAACCTCCAAAAGTGGAGACCAGAGCCTCAGGAATTAGGAGGGACAGCCTGATCCACAGAAAAACTAATTTCTGGGATGGACTGAACTCCTGATGGTGGGGAGAGAATAGGGTAGAGAGGGATGGGGGTCAGAAGGGACAACACTGAACTTGAAGGAGGAAAGGGATGATGACTGCCTGAGGGTTTCTGAGGCAGGGATGTACTCACTGCAGCTGGGCCAGTCAGGCTTTAGAAAGGCCCTAATGGAAAAATGGGGCCAGGATAGGGTCAGCTTGAGGCCTAGCTTGAGAAGTTGCTAACATGGATGATGTGGCCAGGTTTTGTTTGACTAGGGAAGAGATGGGGTCTCTATTCAAGGAGCTAAAATCGGGATGGGGCCGGGTAGAAAGTAAATGAAGAATGCATAGGACTGGTAGAGATACTGAAAAAGAGAGAAAGGAACTGGACAGGAAAGTCAGAGGAGGATGGGAAAAATTCCGGAGGAAGGGACTGGGACTTGATTTGGATGGAAGGAATGGAGAAGGATCTATGGAGGGATCAGGAGGAAAGATAAGGATCTAAAGGAGCTCAGGACAGGATGGTGCCTGATCAAGGGAATAGTGGCCATGAGGGACAAACGGGCCTGGGACCTGGGAGAAACTGTCAGATTGTTAGGGGTGGAGAATGCAGAGGGAGGAATGGGTCTGAGAGAGAGGATGGAGCTAGAATCTGGAAGGGGGAGGGAAGAATTCAGGAAAGAAGGAAAGCACTGGAAGGTATGGAATCAGATTTTGGAGATGAGACTCTGTGGGAATGAGAGGGTTGAATTCTGGGAGGAACCGAGTCTGGATATGAAAGGATGGGACCTTAGTGAGGGAACGGGCTTGGACTTGGAGTGAAGGGAGGAGGAGGGCAAGGCATGCAGGTAAGGGACTAGGCCTTGAAGGGAGTAGGGCTCTCTTGCAGGGCTGGGAGGGGAGGCTCAGGTAGGGACAGGGCTTAGGAAGGAAGGGGGAGGAATGGCACTGGGGAAGGAGCTCAGGGAGGGATGGGGGAGGGGAAAGTCAATAGGGAATAAGGCTGGGACGGGGAGCTTCTACAGGGGGTGTTAGAAGGGGCTGGGGCTAGGTGGGGACAGGCCCTAGGTAGGATACGGCCGGAGGAGGAAAGGGCTCAGGTGGAGATGAGGCCAGAACCCAGGGGAGAGGAGTGCTCTGGAGATGAGGTTGCGGAATGGGGGAAGGCTTCAGCAGCGATGGAGAAGGGAGGAGGATTCGGGAGGGGGTTGGAGGGGCTCAGGAAAGGGCTCAGACAAGGATGGGGCTGGTACCTGGCTGGGGGTAAGGCTCAGGAGGAGATGGAGGGGCTGGGGGGGGCCCCTCAGGCCAAGAGATCAGGGGATTGGGGGTGGGGGGAGAGGATGGAGGGATGCTCAGATAGGGACTGGGCTGGAACGCGGGTGGGGGAAGGTAGAGGACTCAGGAGAAGGCGCCCCCTCAGAGAAGAATCAGGGAGGGGTGAGCGGGTGAGGGAAGCGGGATTCTCAGATCAGGATGGGGCCGAGACCGGGGGGGGGGCTCAGTAAAGGAGCGGGGCTCAGGAGGGGAAGGAGGGCGGGAACCAGAAGAAGGTTCGGGAGAGGATGGAGGGAGCTGCGGGGGGGGGCGCCCTCAGACCACGAGCTGGGGGGGTGGAGGGAGGGGCTGGGGGTGGAGGAGCTCAGACTGGGATGTGGCTGGGGGGGCTCAGCAGAATAGGAGGAGAGATGAAGGGGGCTCCGGCGGGGAAGGGGACGGAAAGGGGCCTAGCCTGGGATGGGGAAGACTCGGGGAGGACGGGGTGGGGGGCGCTCATGACGGGCTCACACTGGGATCGGGAAGGGCTCGGGAGAATATGGAGGGGGTCAGGCGGGGGGAGGGGGATGCTGAGGCGGGGATAGGCCGGCGCGGGGCGCTCAGGAGGGGCTAGGCCGTGGGGGGCGGGGGCTCCCGGCCGGGGTCGCAGCAGGCCCTACCTGCAGACGCGAAGGACCCCTCCAGCAGCGGCTCCCGCCAGTCCAGCCACGGCGCCACGCCCAGCCGCGCCGCGTCCGCCCGCGCCGCACCCCCCACGTGACCGCGGCCGTCGCGGGGCGGAGCCGTTGGCGACACCGGGCCGCCTGTGGCGCGCGGCTGCCGCGGTTGCCTTGGCGACGGAGGAAGCGTTAGGGCGCAGCTGCGGCGGAGGCAGCGCTGCGGGAGGAGGGAGACCCAAGTGAAAGGTTTGGCGAGCTGGCCAGCCAGGGTGGGGGGACCCCGCTGGCCTGGGAGGGGCTGGGCCGCGCCGGGGTCTGTTCGAAGGGGAGGAAGGGCAGAGCGCCGCTCCATTACCACTCCCCTCCACTCCCCCCGCAGTCCGTCTGGGAAGGGGCTGCGGGCAGGGCTCGGGGCCGGGGCCACCCAAGGGGAAGTGGCTCATGGAGGAGAAAAAGCGCTAGGGCCGAATCCCCGTTTTCTGTTTTCATACTTACCGTGTCACCTTGGACAAGTCAGTTCTCTTCCCCAGGCCTCAGTTTCCCCATCTGTAAATGATGGGGGGAGTTTCGCAATTGATCTCTAAGGTCTATTCCTACAGTATTTTGACTGGTAGTGGGCTTCTCCATTGGAATGGTCTCAGTCCTGGGGAGCACTTGCTTAAATCATAAAAACTGTGCCTTTGGGGTATAATTTCTAAGATGCTTGACCACCACACACATATATGTGTTTGCAGAACTGAAAATGCATCCAGAATCCGGAGCGCCTGGCCAGGAAGATGGAACTGAGCATGGGAGTGTGCCAGAGGAATCGGAAGAGTCTTCAGGGGACTGTAGAAATGGAGAGGGTGTGCTGATAAACAGTGCAGGTAACCCCTGCGCAGAGGGCCCATGCTGCTCTCCCAGCTCAAACTATGCAGTACAGTTCAGCTACTAACGAGTGACCTGGAGAAGCAGTAACAACAGCTCTCATTTCTGCAGGACCTTGAGGTTTTTAAAGCACATTATTGCATCCCAGAAAAAAAAAAAGTCAATCAGTAAAATATTAAGCACTTACTCTTGCCAGGCACTGGGGATCAAAAAGAGGCAAACAGAAGGACCTCAAGGAGCTCACAGTCTAATGCAAACAAAGATATACAAGCAACCTACATACAGGAGAGATAGGAAATAATTAATAGAGGGAAAGCACTAAAATTAAGAGGGGCTGGGGAAGGCTTCCTGTCAAAGATGAGATTTTAGTTGGGACTTACAGGAAGCCAGGGAAGTCTAGGCAGGGTTGAGGAGGGAGAATGTTCTAGGCATGGGGGACAAGCCAGAGAAAATGCCCAGAGCCAACTGATGGGGCATCTTGCTCATGGAACAGCCAGGAGACCAGTGTCACTGGACTGAAGAGTATGCATTGGGGAGTAGGTTCTAAAAAGCCTAGAAAGGTAGGAGGGGGCTAGTTTATTAAAGGTTTTGAGTGCCAAACAAGAATAATTTGTATTTGATCCTGGACGTGATAGGGTGCTACCCCTTCTGGCCTAAATCCTATCAAAACCACTTCTCGTTGTTCCCTCTGATGTATGTAAACTTTTATTAGTCAGCCAGAAGAAATAGTCTAAAGCAAAGGCATATAATTATAACCTGTGGCCCAGAGTCTCTCAAACTCTGGGCTTACATGGATGTAGTCCCCAAGACTAAGCCCAAAGATTAGTTTCTCTTAGCAAATATATGTTATTATTGTTCAGTCATGTATGACTCTTTGTGATCCCATTTGAGGTATTCTTGGCAAAGATAGTGGAGTGGTTTGCCAGCTCCTTCTCCAGATCATTTGACAGATGAGGAAACTGAGTCAAATAAGGTTAAGTGATTTTCCCAGGGTCATACAGTAAGTATCTGAACTCAGGTCTTCCTGACTCCAGGCCCCATGATCTATCCACTTCACCACCTAGTTGCCCCAGCAGATATATACCCACTCAAGTGTTTTCGCTGGGAAATCTCCCAATGTATGTTAAGTCTATGTTTCCACAGGTATAGGCAATCACCTACCTAGCTGCTGTTCAAGCAAGTACCTAGATTGTTAACCTAACTTATGGTAACAAAACACTGCTAATGGGTGGACCCAAAAGATTTATTTTTTTTTAATAAATTTTAATTTGATTTAACTTTGATCCCAAAGGCAATGGAGAAGATGAACTCTATAATAAATGTGGAGAAACTCTTAAAAGCCTATGAACAATCAGCACAACTGTCCCTCTCCATGAGTCCCATTTTTCTTTAAGATTCTAGGTTCTTCAGATTTAGCTCTACGTCATGTTTTGGACTCTGGAAAGGAACAGAACTTGGATTAGCCAGAGGGATGCTAGTTGTCTAAATTCTAGGATTCCACTGCATTGGAGATCTTCATCTTCTAGGTAGGAGGCAGAGATTCAGGAATGAAATTGTGCATGCATTCTTCTCAAGACATGGGACATGGGACAGAGCAGAAGAGAAAGGGTAAAAAGTGGTCAGAAGGGCCTGAGCACTTCTGCTGGATCCGTGTCTGATCAAGGAAGTGAGCTGTTGTTTGGAACCTTTGATTGGGATGTGGTGACCATTTTCTCCTTGTTAGAAGACAAAAGACAACTATTGGTTTCATTGTGAACAAGGTTTCAGTGAACTAGGGCTGGACACCTGTGATGAAATGGCTTATTTAGACTCTCTGGAACACTGTTGTCAGAGAAGCCACTCCTTCAGGTTGGCCTTTAAAAAAGGAGTCTTCACTGAAGACTCAGTTCCTTTTTCTTTTCTGCCTTATAGAGATTTGAGTGCAGCTGGTAGACAGTGGAGAGAACTCCTTTGATCAACCTCATCTATAATGAAATGGCGTGGGAAGAAAAGTAACAATAGAGCATTCTCCCTTACAGACACATATTCCATCGATGGCAACATGTGGCTAGGGACTCTTGGTGAAGGGGAGGATCAGAATGGTTAAGTGACTTGCCCATGATCACAGCATTAGTAAGTGCTGGGATTCAAACCTGTGTCTGTAGACTCCCAGGCTAGCACTCCTCTGGATACTGCAGGCAAGGCTTCACCTTTCTAGAGGAGCCTCAGTTTCCTTACTCATTCACTGAGCCTAGTAATACTCCCTACCCCAGGGGTTGTTGGGAGGATCAGATGAGATAATAGCTTTATAGGTTTTAAAGCCTATATAAATGTGAGCTATTATTGACTCCTACTTTTTGATTAGTCATAGTATACAGTTGAAGGGGAAAAAGTAATACTGTCAACTAAGCCTTTCATTTTAAACAAAAGTTTTAATCTCTTTTCTCATCAAACCCTGTCTTTAAAGTTCTACTGATAAAATTGAAATGGACTGCCTTTGTGTTTCACCTCCTTATATTATTTCCCATTTCTCATGTTCATTCTTTAGCAAGAAAATATGTGAAATGTAATTCACGAATTAATATATATACAAATGTTAGCTGACACTATTACTAATGTTAAATAAGTTATCCAAAAGGCAAACAGCAGAAGAGGCATAGGCTCTCAAATTGAGCCCTAAATAAATTGTGTTGGCCTATTTTTCCTAAGTAGTGTTTTCAGGAATGCTGATCTTCCCCTGTAATATAAGTAATGGTTTTGTGAGAAAGTATTAATGATGGAAATGTTTTTCCCATTAAAATATTAAAGAGGAAATTGTGCATATATCTGAGATACTAATTTTGTACAGTAATATTTTTTTTTTCAGCATGAAAGGGAGTTTAATTTTCCAAATTTGATCTGACTTCCCTTTGTCCCAGGGATATCTCATATCCACACACCTACCAGACCAGCATTTATGGTTTATATTGATATATTCCAGCCCTCGAAGTGTTATCGTATCATACATAGCCAAATACATAGTACTGTAGTACTATAGTTCTATAGTACTAGTTTTTCACCTCTGGATAGGGGGAAAGAATGTGACAAAATGTAACAAATTTTATACACATGAAAGTTTAATTATACTTCATTCACTGCCATATGCTTCTTTTTTGTTTCTTTTTTTCTCAATTACGTGTAAGCAAAAAATTTTTAACACTCATTTTTTTAAATTTTGAGTTCCTTCCTCCTTCCCCTCCCCCTTTCTTGAGAAAGCAAGCAATTTGATATAGATTGTACATGTGCAGTCATGCAAAACATTTCTACGTTAGTCATGTTGCAAAAGAAAACACAGATAAAAAAAAACAAGAATAATAAAGTTTAAAAAGTATGCTTCAATCTGCATTCAGACTCCCATCAGTTCTTTCTCTGGAGGTGGATACTATTTTTCATCATAAGTCCTTCAGATCATTGCATTGCTGAAAATAGCTAAGTCATTTATAGTTAATCATCATACAGTATTGCTGTTACTGTGTACGTTGTACTACTGGTTCTACTTACTTCACTTTGCATCAATTCATATAAGTCTTCCCAGGTTTTACTGAAAGCATCCTGCTAGTCATTTCTTAAAGCACAATAGTATTCCATCATAATTATATCCCACAACTTGTTCAGCCATTCTCCAATTGATGGGCATCCCCTCAATGTCTAATTTTTTGCCACCACAAAAAGAGCTACTACAAATATTTTTATACATGTATGTCCTTTTCCTTTTTCTTTTATGTCTTTGGGGGTACAGACCTAACAGTGGTATTGTGGGGTCAAAGAGATTTGTAGTCATTTGGGCATAGTGCCAAGTTGATCAGTTCACAGCTCCACCAACCATGCATTAATGTAACTATTTTTCCATATCCCCTCCAACATTTGTCATTTTCCTTTTCTACCATATTAGTCAATCTGATAGGTGTGAGGTAGTACCTCAGAGTTGTTTTAATTTGCATTTCTCTAATCAATAGTGATTTAGAGCATTTTTATATGACTATAGATAGCCTTAATTTCTTCATCTGAAAACTGCCTGTTCATATCCTTTGACTATTTATCAATTGAGCAATGAATTGTATTCTTATAAGTTTGACTCAGTTCTCTGTGTATTTGAGAAATGAGGCCTTTATTAGAGAAATTTGCCACAGAAAGGTTTTTTTCCCGGTTTCCTGCTTCCCTTTTAATCTTAGCTGCATTGGTTTTGTTCATGCAAAAACCTTTTTAATTTAATATAATCAAAATTATCCATTTCACATACTGTAATGCTCTTTATCTCTTGATTGGTCATAAAGTCTTGTCTTATTCACAAATCTGACAGGTAAAGCATTCTATGCTCTCCTAACTTACTTATGATATCACCCTTTGTGTCTAAATCATGTACCCATTTTGACCTTATCTCTGGTATATGTTGGTTTTTTTGCTTTTTGGTGGGGCAGTTGAGGTTAAGTGACTTACCAAGGGTCACACAGCTAGTAAGTGTCAAGTGTCTGAGGCCAGATTTGAATTCAGGTCCTCCTGATTCCAAGGCCAGAGCTCTATCTGCTGTGCCACCTAGCTGCCCCATCTCGGTATATATTGTGAGATGTTGTTGTATACCTAGTTTCTGCCAAACTGCTTTTCCAACTTCCTCATCAGTTTTTGATAAATAAGTTGTCCCAGAATCTTGGCTCTTTGGGTTTGTTAAACACTAGATTTTTATGGTCATTTACTACTGTGTATTATGTACCTAATCTATTCCACTGATCTACCACTCTATTTCTTAGCCAGTACCAGATTGTTTTGATGATTACCACTTTGTAATATAGTTAGAGATCTGGTACTGCTTAAACCACCCCCCTTCACATTTTTTTTCATTGATTCCCTTGATATTCTTGACCTTTTGTTCTCCCAGATGAATTCTGTTATTATTTTTTTGTAGGTCTGTAAAATAATTTTTTGGTAATTTGATTGAATTGAGTAAGTAAAGTAAGTTAGATAGAATTGTTATTTTTATTATATT